CTTCAGTAAGGCTGGCGTCACACTGTCCCAAAATTGACACCAGATGGACACACGAATATGGAATTGTGTATTTTGCACGAAGATGGCCACACGATGGCACCCGAACCACACACAAAGGCAACATGAAGATGTGAATTTTTAGAGTAGTTTATACCCGCAGGACACACAAAGGCCACACGATGGCTACACGACATCGTATTGAGAGTACAATGCGTTCTAACTAGGTCACAAAGGCGTCGCCGTCACGTGACCTCCCGATGGTATTTACATAATATGTTTACATGATTTTGTTGTGCAATAAAACAACCAGAGAAGCGATCTGCAAGGAAACATAGCACCCCGTATCCTCATGCTCCTGTTTCACCTGCTTAATACAGGTATCATCACTGATACTGATTTCGATAGAGCAGGTCACAAATAGCAAGAAATGACAAAGTGAAATAATTAGGGCTGTCAAGTTAACGCGTTAATAACGCAAAAAAAAATTAACGCCACTAATTATTTTAACGCGATTAACGCATGTGTATTTTTTGTCCTCGGCCGCCCCGTAGTTTCAGAGCGCATCGAGTTTAAAATACCATCTACAAGCTGATGCTGACAGCCCCGCTCCTGCCGCCCGCTTGTGGCAGACCACACTTCCACGCTCACCGGCAGGCCCGGACTGGCCATCGGGAGGACCGGGAGGGTGTGTGTATGTGTGGGGCGAGCGAGGCACACCTTACGTGTTGTTGTTGTTAGCATCTGGTGCTAGCTAGCTGCGCTAACGGATATAAGGAGCTGTTTCAATGAAAACAGAGGAGCAACATTTCACCGACAACTGCGCCGAGCACTTGACTTTATGCAGGCAGTCAGACAGTGGGACATTGTACGAAAAGTCAGCACACTCAGCACGGATAGTGTGCGCAACATGATTGCAGCGTCCAGGCAGCTCCCGTTCGAGCATATATGCCTTGAGCTGCACATAGCTCCAACGATCCATCACAGTGTTCACACACACACACACACACACACACACACACACACACACACACACACACACACACACACACACACACACACACACACACACACACACACACACACACACACACATACATACACACACACACACACACACAAATTGAGGCGAATATTTGTAATGTTCAGAGGTTGTTGTGTTTAATATTCATGAGAATATTTGTCATTGTTCAAATGATAATAAACAAACATATAAAGCATATTTGTCCACTCATATGTTGATAAGAGTATTAAAAACTTGAAAAATATCCCTCTAAGGTACATTTAGAACAGATAAAAAATGTGCGATTAATTTGCGATTAATCGCGATTAACTATGGACAATCATGCGATTAATCGCGATTAAATATTTTAATCGACTGACAGCCCTAGAAATAAGACAATTTTTACCTGTAAGAGGAGGTGCTGGGCCTGTAAGAGTTGCTCATCATGTTCTCTGAGGGCATCAAAAGAAGCAATGCTGCTGCCTTCTTTTTCCTGGTTGTCTCATCATCATAGTATGCCATTCTGCAGGAACTGAATTGTGATGAATTGTGATTGAAGCTTTGGGAGTTACACACGCCTCTGCTCTGTAGAGTTGCTCAGGACTGACTGAGGAAGATGCTCTGAGGCTGGCCTTTTATATGTCCACGTTACCATGACACGCTTGAGCTACTCAAATTCGGCTGTCTTCGCAGACACCGTTGTCCCATCTCGATGTCATCGTACTATAATACGATGGCTACACGACGGCATTGTGAGGGCTTTACGTAGTCGTGTTGCCTTCCTAAGACAATCGGGCAGCTTCTTGTTTCCTTCGTATTGTCTTCGTGAGGTGAAAAATGCCACCGCTCACGAAGTTGCTGCCGGAGCCTGAGAAACTCCACCGGCATTCATACGATGGCTTAAGATGCCCTCACGAATGGCCCGTTGTTACGATCAGAGCCAAATTTGTCCATCTGGTGTCCATTTCGGGACAGTGTGACGCGGGCTTAAAGGATGTGAATAGTTTCTCCACCACCAGCTAGATGTTGAACTGTTGTAGCTGGCTAGTTAACTGCTAAAAAGCTAGCTGCTCACAGGCTAGCTGGGACATGCTTTTGTTGCGAATAAGACAAAAGATAATCACAATTGTTTCTTTTTTTTCTCTGTAATGGGATAAATACTCCACCAGCTTCTGTTCTTGTGATTGTTTTTTTAGTTTAGTTTCTTTATAGCAGAGGTTTAATAAAAGTAAATGGGGGCACACGGCTAATAAGCTACATTAGCCAACTCCATTTTAGATTGACAGACTTTCAAATGTTTGCACTCCCCTGATTACTTGCTGTTGGGAAAAGGCATCAATATGCAGATTTAAAACATGTTTTTCTGCATGGATTAATAGATACAATTTACCACCAGATTTTGCAGTTTTACATGCTTTAGGGACTAAGCCTTTGTAGTGCCCAAAACTAAATACATTTCGATCCATATATAGGCTCCAGGAAGTTCTTGAAATCAGCTGACAGATGCAAGTCAACATAATGTAACATTTAAATTCTGTTTCCTACGTCAGCAGGAAGTGTATTCCTATAGCAGTTGCCTCATTCTGTAAGCAGGTCACCGTCCAGATGAAAATTCTTTATTTTAACATAGAAGGTGACGTAGAAGAGCGAAATCCATTCAGTAATTTTTAGACTCTAAATCCTCAGCCTCTTTTAAAATAATATTGTGCTAGGATTATGCCGTGAATAGATTCCAGTCTGTCGAGTAATGATTTAATTTCATACTACCCCAGCAGTGGCAAACCACAATTAAACCGAGGCTTGGTGCTTTCTCCTCATTTATTATATACAAACAGCTGTAATGAATATGTGAATGCAGCGCGTGTCATATAATATGTATGATGAATATGGTTGGCATGCGGGTAAAGAGCATAAATGGTTTATGCGTTGCCAGGGGCGTTGTGAGGAGCTGACAAACATTCCGTGGCCATACTGTGTGAGCAACAGGAAGAGCTGTTTTAATTCACACATAGAGAATGACTTTATTTGTCATACGCTGTAAATATAGAGGGATAAGTTCTGTACGTCAAAGCAAGGCAAAGGGAAAGGGCAATAGAAGAAGACGCATAAACAAGTCATCGCTCTGCAGATACATTCACTCCACTAGAGAAAATCTGCAGTACCATATGTAGTCTCCTAAAATAGTGTTTTCAATCCTTGATCTGATTTAAGGATGAATTAATGTGGGTTTAATAAGCAGGAAAGGGTTATTTATCTCCAGACATAATCAGAAATTCAAATATATTACAAATAGGTACTTCGGCGCCTGTGCAATTATGCATTACTTTGGTACTGTGATTTAATGAAGACAGAAACCTACTATAATTAATTATATTTAGTGCTGCATTTGGTCGGATTTGATTTATAAAAACACTAATATGCCAATGTAGTAAAGAAAGGATGCAGTGGTAATTATGGTTCCTGATTTAGATTTAGTTTTAATCTTAATCGAAATGGTAAACTAGCTTTTGTAGAATATTAGTCAACAAATGCAAATCTGTCTCTTACTATACGGCAAACATGGAGTTACTCAGGTTCGAACTTTCTGTGAAAAGCAGAACATAAATGGTATTATCAAGGTTTTATTTGTCACTTCCTGCTACCTGAGAATACTATAACTTGGGTGAATTCCCAGGCTTTTGATTCCCTGAGGCTTCCTATTCTCCCAGATTCTGAATTATTGATTTTTACTTTACATTAAATCTAGTCGAATGTGTTGTGACCAGATTTCTTCTCCTTTGTTTGTTTCATTTGCTGGTTGGCTTAATGACTGTGCGATAGATGAAATAGCATACATAAGACATAGAATACTCTTCATGGGTTAACAGGCACATAACATATGAATCAGACTGAATAATGAAACATATTGTATGGGCCTACAGTACATTAACAAACATGCAAAAGCACTACCAACCTAGACAGCACTCGGCAGTTCTTTTGTCCTACCTGTAATATACATTACCTCTTTCTCATGCTCCTTTTTATAACTTAGCATAAAATAATAGATATCCCGCAGTAAAGCATAGCTGTCTTATTAGGCTGAGACCTTCGGCTCACTGACATAGGAAGTATGAAAAAAGAGGTTCAAAAACGCTGTTATTCATGCTTTTCGACATAAGCTGGTATATTTCTATAAGTGGGCCATGATACTGCTAAGGCCCGAGGGAATGGGATTACCCATGTTAAAAATAGAAAAGGGGGCTCATTACAATACTTAGGGGGAAAGTGTCATAAAGCAACATCCACATGGTAATACACCAACATCTTGTCACAGTGTACCTCCAGTGCTGTTGCAATAAAAAGGAAACTTTGACTGACATTTCTTGAGTCATGACATGAAGTTTTTTCTGGCCATGACATTAATTATGGTTGTAAACAAGACTTTGCCATGCTAGCAGCTCTGCTAGGATCCAAATGCTAAAATTAGCATGCTCACAACGAAAATGCTAACACGCTGATTGGGTAATATTTAACCGTCTTTATCTTTTTTGTTTAGGATGGTTGAACAAGTATAGGTTTTTATAAGATTTTGACCAGATGATGGCAAGAGAAGATAAGTCAGGGGACAACCAAAGATGTATACTGAAGCAACGAAGTAAAACCTATTGTCACCACTTGACATCATGTTTTCCATTAAGGAATACTTTGATCATTCAGAGAGGACTTCCGGATTGATGGGGCCCAAAAAGCATGTCAATGGGAAAGTCTTTTTTGGCCCAATGACTTCACATACTGACACATAAGTGTAGTACCACTGTTTGGCCACCATTAACATTTGCTTATACGCCTGGTTCACTATGTTTGGGCTTTGATACAATACCTTTATAACCATGAAGTCAGACCAGACACTAAATATAAGACAAATGTCATGTCATAAGTTGCTGGGGTATTAGAGTAGTTGTCAATAACAACCATAATATCATTGAGGCTCACCCCTCCCTTTCGTCTGTTTTACTTGTAGATGGGAGGAACCATGTACAACACTGGGAAGCATGTGTCATTACGGCCGGACAAAGCCCACCTGGTGAACATCTCCGGGGGCCCACTGGGTTACAGCTACAGGCTGGAGGAGGTCCGCCTCCATTTTGGGAGCGAGGACTCCCAGGGTTCAGAGCATCTTCTCAACGGACAGGGTTTTCCAGGAGAGGTAAGAAAGAAAATATTGATAGGTTACACATTTACACTGATACACACACGTGGAAGGGAGGCTAGAGGGGAAGGGGCTCAAATGGTACGAAAAAATAAGGCATATTAAAATGTATTTATAGGCAAAATAAGGGGGTTGATTTCATTTCCATGTTGGGGGACTACACATAAAGTTTGGTGTCTAGGGATTCCACTAGGAACATTTGAGCTTCAAACACTTTTCACAAAGGTGGTGCAGGAATGAGTCCAGAAACCTGGTTCACATTTAGCACTTCCTGTTCACTTATATTGAAGTTAACGTTTCTTTTTAATGGGATTTTGGTTGGATTCCAAAAACGATTTTTATCTACGAAATAAAATATAGTAAATCCGTAAAGGTCAGTACACACCCCATCGTTGAATGTCTGAAGATTCTATGTTTCATAAAAGGGCAGTGACTAAATGAGACTACTAAACGTCATCACGCTGACACATTAGCCACATTAGCCGCCGATAGCTCAGCAGTGGTGACGTGATGTCAAGTGACCGTTATATAGTCCGTTTGTAGTTATAACGTTAGCTTTTTAATCCTGCTGAGCGCATTTACTCTTTTAAAGTCATAAAAGTTGTTTTATTATGCAGAACTTATCCTGCCGAACATGCTAGTAATTCCCTGTGCCAGTAATCCGATTGTTTTTAATGTAACTGTAGGGGGATACCGTTTTCTTTTTTTTATCCTAATTCCCGTACGCCCCAAGCCAGGTCAAGACTCAAAGACATTCGTAGCTACTCGTGCAACCAGTGGGGTATTTACCATTCACGCGCATGTGAAAGAAGTAGCAACCTTCAGCTCACACACAGGGTAATGAATGTCACTAGTGTCAGTGTGTCAGAGAGCTCATACACCATGTGTCACTGAGGCAACCATCCTTTGAGTCACACACACAGTGGTTCACACAATGGGATGAGTCTCATCCAAACACGCTCTGATAGGAAGATCTTTATGCTTTTTACTTCTGTTAATTGCATTTAAGCTTAATAATAGTAATAATAATAATAAAGCTTTATTTATATAGCACTTTTCATACAGTACGTGCAGCTCAAAGTGCTTTACAAAATGGCGACACATCACAAGTTAAAAATAATAAACAACAAGAAATTCCCCTCGGATCAGATGTTAAGACCTTTACAGATACATGCAGCAAAATATAACATTTGAACAGGTTAAGAGACACAAGCAGGTCAAAGGTATGATAATACAAATAAAATACAATAAAATAAATAATAATTTCTCTCGGAAAGATAAGACACAAGACAAGTGAATAGATGCAACAATATAAAACCCTATTAAATAAAGTGAACATATAGGTACAACAGAAATAAAAATAAAAGGATTATAGTAATGAAAACGTCATAATTGTAATAAAGGTTAAACGATTAAAATATAAAAAATCCAACATAAAAATAAATGTTGCTATTGAAACTGTTATAATATAAATAACATAAGATAAAACCCTTTAAAGACCATAAAATAAATAAAACAATATAAAAGTAGGTAAATAATAAAGACTAAAACAACATTTAAAGTGTGTGTGGGGGGGGGGGTGCTAATAAAAAGCTAATCTAAAAAGATGTGTCTTTAGCTGGCCTTTAATAAAGCTTCTTAGTAGAAGTTTTTAAAACTAGCTTTACATGGATTGTAAATTACATTTCTTATTATCAAGGACGTAATATGACCTGTTGTCATGTTATCCGTTCATTTATTTGGCTTACACAGCTCATCTTGAAGCTTTGGGATGTTATCGTGGACAATTTCAGATGGAAAATTACTTTTGCTTTGAAATTAATAGCATTTGTAGATAAATCCAAACCGAAGTCGGACTGGAAAATGGGAATTAGTTGCAGTCCTGCTTCAGGTTTAGGCTAAGGGTTAGGGTTAGAGTAACTAACTTAAATCGGGCTTGTAATGCTTTCTTTCATTGTATCTATGTTTCAGGTCCAGCTGATCCATTATAACCAGGATCTGTATGCCAACTACACGGAGGCAGCTAAGAGCCCCCATGGTATCGCTGTGGTCTCCATCTTCATAAAGGTCAGTGTGGACTTCTGGGAGTACATTGAAACACAATACATTTGTAAGAGTTAATTGGATGGTTTGATTCATACATATTCTCACAATTGAGGATAAATAATGTATTATTTATTATAACACTTATACAAGAATTGCAGCACAGTAAACAAAAAAGTGAACTTGCTACATGTGTTTAGCTGCATTTTGTGTGTGTGTGTGTGTGTGTGTGTGTGTGTGTGTGTGTGTGTGTGTGTGTGTGTGCTGCACTGAAGTCTGTGATGAATATGTGATCGCCCTCTCCCTTCGTCATCTCTTAGCTCTCTGAAATCCCCAACGCCTTCCTCAACCGCATGCTGAACAGAGACACCATCACCAGAATCAACTATAAACGTAAGACACACACACTCTTTCTCTCACCCTCTTACACACACACACACACACACACACACACACACACACACACACACACACACACACACACACACACACACACACACACACACACACACACACACACACACACATGCAGTCTCCACCAGTGCTTTGTCCCGAGACACACACAGTGTTATGGCTGTAGACCAGTGTACTAACTTCTATGCCAAAAAACCTGCTGTCTAAAAGGAGGATATGTTTTCATTCCATAATGCTTGTTTGTTTGCACAGTCTGAGAAGGGTTGTTAACACATTTGAATTATAGCAACGTTTGGTAGAGAATTAGGACATGGGTAAATTATTGTTTAGGCATTATTGGAGTGGGTGTGAAGCAGGAATTACTTAAATGATTTCAGAGGAGATATGGCATTTTTGAACATTTTCATTATTTGGAAGTAAGCTTGACACGGCCATATTTTAATCATACAAGTGTAATGACTTGTGCCAAGTAGTCAGCCGCACGGACTGTGTGTCATCACACTGCGCTGTGGCCTGAGACTTCTGACAAATCAGAGGCTGCAGATTCATCATTATGTGTCCTGCTGCCTGCAGATCACTACAGGGACAAATCCCTACACTGAAGGAGATGTGAAGCAGCTGTGGAAAACTGTAAAGGTTACTTAAAGGGGACCTATCATGCAAAATGCACTTTTGTACGTCTTTTATACATGAATATGTGTCCCCGGTGTGTCAGGGAACTCACCAAGTGTCAGAAAACACAACCCTCTCTCTTTTCCTCCATACCCAAATCTCTAAAAACGGGGCTGCAACGGAGCTGATACAGATGTTAATTTTTCTGACGTCAGAAAAGGGGTGCTCCGCCTATATGGCCAACTCTCCACCTATCAGGGGAATGGGGGGTTGGGCGTCTCCAGCGCTCGAAAGCGCTGGAGACGCTCTAGTACATATGCCAGGCCTGTAAGTGGCGCTGTAGTCTGCCACAAAAGCAGCGAAGAAGACTTCCCGCGCATGGTTGCCCTTCTGTTTATTCTCCGCTGTGGACGCTCTGGCTCTTTTTCTCCCTCCCCGAGGCAAGTGTTGGGTCCTGCTGCTGTAATTCTCTCTCGGTTTGCCACCAGCAGATGAAAAACACCCACCTCTCCGCCTCTTCCAAGGGACGAGGGGACCGTGCTGCAGAGTTTCAGTTAGATTTTTTTCCGCCGGTCAACATGTCCGTTAAAGTTTTAAATCTTCCGGACAAAATTAGAAAAGTGCCGGTCAAAGGTCTTCTTTGTTATTTATTGAGCTTTAAAACAAATGAATAACGACTCTATATAATCATATAAGAATAATACACGGAGGACGGAGATCTCTTTTCCTCCCCCTCTTCTGAGAGCCCAGCAGCTGATCAGAGCACGCTCCCCTCTCCTGCAGGGGGGCGTGGTCAGCTGCAGCTCATTTGCATTAAAGCTACGTCACAGAATCAGCCCTTGCAAAAACAGGGCTGGAAAAGAGCAAATAGAGCGAAATGAGGCATGGCTAAAATGCATGATCTGTTTGGTATTTTGAAAAAAAAACTTCACAGACATGTTTTATATAGGTATGGCCCTACAATATATATTTCAAATATAGCATGATAGGTCCACTTTAAGTTATCCTATGAATCAGTGCAGACTGCTCTAACTATGTTCTTACTTAATAACCAGGGTGCGTACGGGTGCTGGAAATCCTTGAAAATGCTTGAAATTGTACGAGGTGTTTTCAAGGTTTGAAAAGTGCTTGAATTTTGGGAATGGTGCTTGAATTTGGGATAAAGTGCTTGAAATTGTAAATGCTTTACTTCGCTTTTTAGATTAAAAGAAAATAAAGAAGTCGGAGCGCGCTTAATTGCTTCGCTTTTACATAAAACATTTCCGCTCCGGCCTTCCCCGTGCTATGCGCGTGACCGGCAAGTGTTTTTGTTACGTGTGTGACCTGGGCATTCTGATGAGAGTGATAGATGACAGTATGCCAGGAGGTTGCCGTTTCAACGAGCGTTGGCTAGCAGAAGACAAATACAAGCCATGGCTAAGACGAGGGTCAAGCGAAGCCCAAGAGTAGCCTCCTGCAAAGTGTGCAACAATAACGATGCGAGAGTCTGCGCTGACGCCACACACCACACGAAAGGTACGCCGTAGTAGAGCATTTTAGATTAGGCTATCGTTGCATGTAAAATACATGACACTTTTCTCTGTGCGCGGCAAAACAAGCTCGCCAAAATGGCTTCACCAGTCTGGCAGTATTTTAAGTGTCCGAAAATGACAATAAAATAGCGGTATGCAACGTCTGTGTGAAGCAGAAATCCTGCAGCTCCACCCGCTGTGACGGACCGGTGAGCGGAGCAGAACACACATTAAGAGTTAGACCTAACACACTTAGCTATTTTATCTACCTCTGGAACAAGCTAAACTAGTTATAAATATATTTATTCTTCACTGTCGGGTCGCTCATTACTGGATCAGTGAGCTGCAGGAGATACTGACGGGCTGTCAGGAGAGAGAGAGACGGGGAGAGAGGAAAAGAGAGCGATATCGGTATCGGCCGATACTGATTCCGGCGATCGGCCCCAAAATTGGCGATCGGAGCATCCCTAATAATTGTATATGATATGTTTTATAATGATTGATCATGAAAGTGTTCTCAAAGCTGGTAAAGGTGCAGCTAGTTTGAATGACTTTGTATACTGCAGGGTAGCTTGTGAATTTACTCCAGGTGGAACTAAAGTCTGATTTAACACTTGATTATATTTCACATCATTCATCCACATCTGTAAAGTAACTAAAGGTATTAAATACATGTAGTGGAGTAAAAGTACACCATTTACCTCTGACTTGTGTTTACTGCCAACCTAAAAGTACCTCAAAAATAGTAATCAATAATATATTGAAAAGTTATTTGGCTGATTGTTTTATATTGGCTCAGCCAGGTTATGGGATGCCCAGTCTACGTACAGATGGGTCACTCATTTTGAAATATTAAACTTAGTTTTCTTTTCTAACATTTTTAATTTTTCATCCTCATGTAGAATGCTATTATGAAACACACATTTGGTTGTTTATAGCATTAAGAACATCTGATTTAATGTGAGGTAGGGAAATAATCATTTGAGTATAAGTATGTGTATATAAATATGTCATTTACAACAGCTGTAAGATGCTTGAAAAGCTTGAAAATGCACCTTGAAAATGCTTGAAAAGTGCTTGAATTTGACTTTGGAAAAGGTGTAAGAACCCTGAATAACAAATGCAATAAAGCTGTTTTAAACCATGGGCTGGTTCTCTCTTATATTTGCACATATATGTGTAAAAAACAAAGTCTATGGCATGCGCTCCCAAGATTTTATTCAGATGCTGGTTCTAAAGTGAGAACAGAACTGGGTAAAAAAAGCTTTTAAATATGCTGCCCCTTCTGCCTGGAATAATATACAGAAGGAGCTGAAACTCTCAGATTTGATCACTATGGGGGAATTCAAGTCCATCTTAAAGGACAGAGAACAAGAAACCATTGTGATTGCTCTTATATCCCATAATTGACTGGTTAATATGCCATTTCATTTGTGTTTTACAACCACTGTATTCGTCTACCTGTATTGTTTTGTGTTCATTTGTTGTAACTTTGTTCATGCTGCCCTCTTGACCAGGTCGCTCTTGAAAAAGAGATTCTAATCTCAATGAGACTTTTACCTGTTTAAATTAAGGATATATATATGAAAAACACATTGACTGGCTCGAATATTATTATACTTGTTTATGGACATTTTAAGAATGATTGCAGTACTATGTGCATTTGCTACAAGTATTTTGTTTATCAAAAAAAGATTGACTTTGCATCAGAAACAATAATCTATTCTCAGTGCAAAGTCTAAGAAAAAAAGGCCCCAAGAGTGGGCTAAATGCTACATGTATTTAAATGCCAGCACGTTTAGCATGCTAACATGCTCACACTTGATAGTAATTACCAAAGCGTAGCTAAGCCAAAGGGGAATGTCATTGGTTCCTCAGGGATGGGGTTATGAAATGACATTTACATTTAAATCAATGATGACGTTGAAATGTTAGGGGATTGTCAAAGTTATTAATTCAAAATGAGTGTCTGAACCTGGTGTCACAGCAGTTAAACTTATCATTGATGAGGTATTTCAAACAAAATAACAAATGTCAATTACATGGTGGCGCAAGGTAGAGTAAGGGGATCCATGCTGTCATTTGATTTTATCCTCCAAGACCTTAAATGTCTGTGTATAAAATTGCATGACATCCATCCAAAATAGATATTTAAGTTTGTACCAAAGTGATGGACCGACTGAATGAATGACAGAAAGTTATTTACATCACTTGAGCCCCGCAGCTAGCATCTCAAAAAACTTTTGAAGTCTAAAACACGCTAATCTCTTCTTTCTCTTGAAGAAAGTACATTCCCAATAATGTAGTCAACACTCTGCTTTACATACTGTTACACAACAGCACTCAAACACACACACAAGTTTCCCGCTGCTTCCCTCTAGCAAGACTGCATTCTAAAATTCATACAAATCAGTGTTACATTGCCAAAATCTGTTTTCCAACCTCTGCTGTGAAGAAACAGCCCTCCAGAGAATTCCTTCCTGTTAATGGGGCTAAACATAGCAGAGTTAGGCAACCACACAGACAAACACAGAAACTTGTTTTTGTGAAGTAGGAGGACACATTCATTAGCTTGTATTAATTTCTTTGGGGACGTACACTAACCTGAACCAAGAATATGGTATTAACCTATCATGCAAAATGCACTTTGTGATGTCTTTTATATATAAATATGTGTCCCCGGTGCGTCGGGGAACTCACGCAGCGTCAGAAAATAAAACCCTCTCTCTTTTCCTCCGTACCCAAATCTTTTAAAAACGGGGGTACAACGAGCGTATACAGATTTGCTGCCGATCTGACGTGAAATCGGCAGCGGACCCACAGAAAATTGCTATCAGAAACAATGCCTGACGTGTTTTGGACGTAATCTCGTCTTTGTTTACATTAGCAAGCCTCGCTAACACTCAGAGCTAACCTGTACTGTAGAGCACATGTGTTTAAAAAGCAGGAAATAAAAAAAGGAACTCACCTTGTGATAAACCTGCAAGAGAAAAAGCATTTGAGCTCCATACTATTTCAGAAATAATCTTTGATGTGGTTTAGAACAGGATGGCGTTTCATCACAGCAGAATTTAACTTTATCTCCGGTAGAATTTTTTTTTCAAGCTAAGGACCCAAAATCCGCGTTACTCTAACAGGGCTGCAAAAGAGGGGTATGAGCAGTATGAGGTATGGCTACAATGGGTGATCTGTTTGGTATTTTAAGCAAAAAACTTCACAGACATGTTTTGTATAGGTATGGCCCTACAATATATTTTTCCAATATAGCATAATAGGTCCACTTTAAAGTTTATATAAAGTTTGTCCATAAATTGGAGGTGAGTTACCACAAAATGACTATGAACATGAGAGGCTGTGGCTAAGTGGCTAGTGTGCTGGACTTCGAATCAGAGGGTAGCAAGTTCGAGTCCCACTGCAGTCAGCATGTCGTTGTGTCCCTGGGCAAGACACTTCACCTCAAATTGCTCCTGGATAAAAGCGTCTAACAAATGACATGTAATGAACATATTTTTGTTCCTAATTAATATAACACACTCACTGCTACAATACATGAGGCAAATCATTCATTTTAATTGCTCTAAACATTAGAGATGCATACCCATGTGCAATATTCTACATAAAACACACAAACACACACACACTCTCTTTTTTTTCTCTCTGACAGTTCGTTCCTGCTAAATGGTCTGAACATAACGGACTTTCACACAACACACTGAATAGCCTGAACACTCTCCCCCTCTCTCCCTCTTTAGATGATGCGTTCTTATTAATGGGCCTGAACATAGGCGACCTTTACCCCGACACCACGCGCTACATCACCTACGAGGGCTCCATCACCATCCCTCCCTGCTACGAGACTTCCACCTGGATACTCATCAACAAGCCTGTCTACGTCACACAGATGCAGGTAGGTGCCTGAGTAGAACGTGCATGGGAAAACAAATAGCATACTGTGGATTGGGGTAGACATTTTTTAATTTTTTTTATTTTAATTTTTGGGGCTTTTTGCTTTTATTAAACACTACAGTCAGGGGGTCACAGGTCTGATTGGAGCCGTGGCTGCTGCTGCTGAAGACTAAGCCAAAGAACATGTAATGTGACCTCTATTTTCCCTGTTGGCACAAGGGCACATACAATTTTGAGTTTCAACTTCATTTCATACCCTGTAATATAAATCATTTATCTAAGTGGTTTAAATAGTTCCCAGCTTAAATGTCTGCACTATGGACGTATAAAGATAACTGGAAACAGCGGGGGCGCGTAAATTCCTATGAGAGTTGCTCCGTGGCGCATGAAGACAAAATGGCCCGAAGTACAAAAATACCCGGATCATCCCTGGATCTGGGCCTATAGAACTCTCCTTTTCCTTAAGCCTCCAATAGACCCCCTAATGTCCAATCTAGGCTCATTTAAACGGATGAAGTGAAAATAACTCTGAATTCGGCTTTTTGCGCATTTTACCGTTTAAGGACCTAAAGATTTAAGAAAGGGCTATTCCAGTGTTCGTACTGGGTAGTTTAATTTGCTGGGAAAAAAATGTCTGCTGATTTTCCAACACCTCAATGTAAGTCAATGGGAAAAAGTATTTATGGCCGAATGATGTCACGTCGTCACTGACACGGAAGTTGTGGTACCACCGTTTGGCCACTACCAAAATGTATTTCAACGGCCGGCTTGATTTCTGGGGGCTCGGTCAGGGTCCACAGTTGGTATTACTTGCTGGTCACAAAGCCATCTTGTTTTTAAAGTTATTAGAGAACTTTAAAACAAATATTAACACTGTTGGCCTTTGTCTTAGGATTTCCTTCATTTATGTATACAAAACTAAATGAAATTTAGTTTGGATTAGGATATAAACTTTGTTTTAATTCTCATCTCTTTATGTAGCACTTAAACTGGTTTGGCTTATTATATGTCTATTATTTGAAGCTAATTTGAGTGCATGTTTCTTGCTGTTCATAAGTCACTTTGAATAGAAGAGTCAGCACGCAGTAAAAACAACCAAAAAGCGAAAAGAACAATGGCATAGCATCAGGGAGAAGAAAACTGAAGAAATAAGTGTCACAGTCTGCTCCCTCACTCATCTATTTTCTGCATTAACCTGCACCTGGTAGTCACACCCTGTTTCTCTCCCTCACTCTGTTACACCCATCAGCTCCATTAGTATATAGGCCCACTTCACTCTCACCTCAGTGCCAGATCGTACTTTGCAGCATGCCAGTCTTTCCCGCATTACCTTCCAGATTGCTCTCCCGGTTTCGACCCTGCCTGTCCCTGACCAGCCTGCCTCGCCTGTTTCCTGACCCTGTCTGTCCCTGGATTATTCTGCCTTGTCTGCCCCTGACCAGCCTGCCTCGCCTGTTTCCTGACCCTGCCTGTCCCTGGATTATTCTGCCTTGTCTGCTCCCTGACCCGGTCTGTACCTGCGTCTCCCGTCTTGCTTACTCCTGGAACCCTCGCCTGTCCCCGACCAGCCCTTTGCCTACTGTCTGCCGATTTGTCCCCGACCAGCCCTTTGCCTATAATAAAGCTGGTTACTGACTATCCCTGGTTTCCCGTGTGTTGCATTTTGGTTCTCAGCTTGTTTGTGACAATAAGCCTATCAAATATGTAGGATTGTAAAACATTCAAAAGAATACATAATACAGTCAGAGTTTTAAAATTACAATTCCTAAAAATAACAGGAAAACGAATCTCTGATGCAATATCCACAGGAAAGATGCTGCTTTGAATTGTTGCAATGCATTGAATGTAATAGGAAATATCCATAAAATACGTCACGTTACGCTGGTGAGGGGTCTTGATGGATAGAAGAAGGGTCCCTTGAGGAAACTGGCTGGGCCCCACTGGTGAGATAAAAGAGGCTGTGTTGTAATAGAGGTGTAATTAAATGCAGTGCATATACACAGAGCAGAAAACAATCAAAATGCCTCTGAGTACTCTCCAAGGTCTCCGAAAAATCTCATCTGTATCTTTTTGATAGCAGTAAGGATGGAAGAGATTTAGTAGGTGTTATGAAAAAGTCAAAATCTGTATGCAGACACAGTGAAACAGCTGAAAAAGTGGACCATATTTGTGACTGGAAAGATTATTTATGACACTGAAGAGCAGCAAGATAGATACGATTCAAATCCTCGCTCTTCAAATCAGGAAGCTAACTGTCAAAGTGCTACACATGACCTGCATGCATCAATGTAATCAAGTCCCACACACCATCTGCCATTTACTCTCACCTTATTTACTTTGATCTCAGCCCTCTCCCTCACTCTCCCTTTCTTCTTCATTCCCTGTTTCTCTTTCCCCTCTCTTAAAGGATTTTTTTCAATCACCATTTGTCTTTTTCTTCATCATATTTGCTCCACCCGCTAATTTTCTCAGTTTTCTCCCTTTTTCTTCCTTTTACCTGTCCCTCTCTCTCATCCCTCCTTCTACACAGACTTTGGTTATATGTTCAGGTGTTCATGTGTTAAATGGAACTACACTAATTGTACACTTGTCAATAACATTATATACTGATACTGGATATCTTAATCTATAAATATATGTCAAAGTTAAAATAATTATATTTTGTATTAGCTTATAATATTAAACCTAAAAGTAACTAGTAACAAATCTGTCAAATAAATGTAGGAGTAAAAAGTACAATACTGGCTTCTAAAATGTATTGGAGTAGAAGTATAAAGTTGCATAAACTGAGAATACTCAGGTAAAGTACCTCAACATTGTACTTGAGTACAGTTCTTTATAGTACTAACTGTACTTTGTTACTATCCATCACTGTATAAATGAAGGTTTCTCTTTTTTTTTCCGACTTTTCTGATTTGGGCTTCTTATTTAGTTATTTAATGTACCTATATTTTGACTGTATTTCATTAAGTTGTGAGAGCTCTAAAGCCAGATCATTTCCTAAAAGTCTCCACCCGTTTCCTCCCCAGATGCACTCCCTGCGCCTCCTGAGCCAGAACGAGCCCTACAAGATCTTCATGAGTATGAGCGACAACACGCGCCCCCCCCAGCCCCTGCTGCAGCGCTGCATCCGCACCAACATCAACTTCAGCAAGCAGGGCCGCGACTGCCCCAACAACCGCGCTCTGCGCCCCCAGTACAGAGGTAATGTGGAGGGGAAAGACACAGATACATGACATTTAAATGTTCTGGAAAGTTCCTTATACAGCTTTAGCCTTTATTTTATCTCATGAAGTCCCTAAGTGACACACCCTGAACAGTCTGGTGGGTCATGGTCCAGGTCATGTGATTTTGTGTTCCCATAACAACATGTCCATGTGTCAGGCTAACACATGTGACAGAACTAGCTACATTTCCAAAGCTTTTTGTTGCTAAAGGCAAAATTCAAGCCATTTAAGAATTAAAATGCTTACATAACATGTCCTTTATTTCATTTAAGCTGTTGTGAAAACATTTCTTGATCCAATTGATATTAAACAAATGAGATAAATATCGCTGTGACATTAATGTCACAATTAGAAATATGATTATGATCTGCTCAGTTAATTGAACTGATTCAAGGATATTTAGTTAATATATTATATACTTTTCAGTTCAGAGAATGTTAAAACAAATGTAAACATCATCCTCATTAATTAAGTTATTAATAAGCATTACTTTACCATTAACACCCAATGTGATATATATGTCACTTTTCAGATCTTTGACACTAGGGGGGGTTACTTGTCAGAAATGTATTCTATTTGTTCTATGTGGTCTATTTAGTCTAAGTGATGTTCCCCATAATTTCCCCAAAATTACAAATGGTTTTGGGTTCTCATAATAACCAAATTGTCTATTCTCCTAGAAATGTAGGCCTTCACTTTAAAGATAATTAGTGCAGTTCTACACCAGTGTTTCCGTTACTTTAGTGGTGTTAAGTAATTTTTTATCAAATTCCTACCTATTAGTGTATTCAAGTATATTCAAGCATTAGACTTTATACATATGCTGATCTTATTCGTCCTTAAGAAACACTTGAAGAGGCCTTCGGTTACAGGGTTAGGGTTAGTCTCACTTGGAGTATGTTGAGCAAGGATTTGAGAAATACAATATGACTACATCTCTGTATACGCTTCTATTGGTTATTTATTTGATCAATCAATTACATTTTATTTACATTTCACAAGTTACACATTTGTCTCAGGGGGCTGACTCTGTCTCACTCTGTCCTTAAACCCTCGCAGTGCACAAGGAAATACTCCCCAAGAAATATTTGTAAAACCTCGGGGGAGCAACGGAGTAGAGATCCCTCTCCGTGGACGCTCAGACGTAAAATAGTTATCGTGTGTATAGCTTAAAACAGATAATACAATTACAACATATGCAACCTAAATGACAAAAATGATAATGTGAACGTTTATAAAAAAAGAAGGATCAGGAGGATACCAACAATCTTCCAAAGACATACTAATGTTGGCGTCAGGAAGGACAACGGCAACAGGTGCAGCCATGACTCATGATCCACATGTACCCTTTAGTACTGGCAACCTGCCAGCTGAGAGACACAAACTCTGGGGATGATGCATTTATAGGACATGAACAACATTGGTGCCAAGAAGAAGAGGGTCTATCTAAAGACATTAACATCCTGTCACCATACCTAAAGATTTGGCACCTCAGCCTCGGCGTGGAAAAGACAACATAATCAATGTTCCACCTCAACAACAGGGAAGCGGCCAATAGGAATCTGTTGTTCCAACAACACCGAGAATGAGCTGCTGCAAAGACAAACACCCGCGATGAGCTGATACCACATGAACCTCTTTCCCGCTAAGAAACGCTTTGTTTCGTGCTTCTTTAGTACTCAGTTAGTTCTAGGTGAGAACACGTTTCGCCTTCCACCGCCAAGAGCCCAAGTGGTGCCACGTCATGACATCACTGTACACGTCGCTGATGTTCTCGGCAACTGCGCTCACAACAACAACAATGGCGGACTGCGTTGTGTTACTTTTAATCATGCGAAGCCAGATTAAATTGAATCGTTTAGACGTTTATCCAACCGTTTACTCACGGACTGTCACACAAGCATCGTGCCCTGATACTTATTTCCATTCCCAATGAACAAATGTTTTTTTCAGTTTGAATTGACACTGCTTGGCATCATAACGCCGTTACTTTAAGTTGATCTGGTATTACATAGGTGATGATAGCATAGCCACTGAAGCTAACCTGAGAAACAACAGTTTGTTGTTATCATATTGTGGCATAAACAGTTTCTAACCCTCTGACGTATTCTGTTCTTGGTTCTTGCCCAACTGTTTTTTGGTTGCAAATGGAAACCAGTTCTCGGGGCCGAGAGCCGGTTTGCAATAGGGCACTGGCTCCGAACTGGCCCTGGAATCGCTTTGGTGGAAAAGGGTTAATAGGGAGCCACTACGAAGACTCTATGAAAATCCACCTAGTGTTCTCCGCCGCGGCCTGCCCGGATGTCAAGAAGCTTGACGTTGCCCTCAACGGCATCTTGCAATCTGTCACCAGATGCCTCCAAGCTGGAAACCAACTGCGTGTCCTCGCTGGCATCGCCCGGTCTGATGTTGTTGTGTCCCACAGTCCTGTTCAAGACGCCAACATGTTGTGTCCTCCAGGCACAACATATTTTATAGTTTCTGGAAATAACAATAATTAATCGAGACAGGAGCTAACGATTTTGAGTGTTTGATTGCAAGAAAACCACAGTCTTCCAATACAAACTCTTCATATTGCATAACCTTACATGAATCCCGTATTGATTCTGATTCTGTTCTTTGGACAGTGTCTCCTAACTTCATATATTTAGGTTCCGTAATCACACTATTTTGCTTTCTGCAGCTGGGGTCATCCTGTTCTTGCAGTTGGGGGAAATCAAGCAGTGGTTTCAAAGAACACAATGGTGGACATGCTGAAGTGAAGTCCATCGAGAGGACATTTCATGCAGACCCAGATTCATTATCAAACACCACTCAGAATAAGATATAAGACATACATTAGTAAACTATGACGTACTTTAGCGCGCCTCAAGTCTTTGCCCCACTTTCCTGCCCGGCTTGCCTCAACAGAGTAAAAGGTCAAAAGACAATCGCCAGAAGAAAAGTTTAGTACAGATAAAGATAAAGACTAGAAGAAGAGAGTAGAAAGATAAAAGTCCCCGGACTCCCCTCTTCTCCTTTATCACGCTTAAATAAAGCTTCAGTTGTCAGAAATCAGTCCGTTCCCAGCAGCCTCCTTGTTTTTCAGTACTCTGCTTACACATTTCCGAAAGTAGCAGCAGGGAGAGATATTAATATGTAAATGGCCTGAATCTGAAATAGGTTTAGGTGTGTTGTTAGCGACTGAGGCAAGGCAGTGCAAGGTCCTTATAAGTGGAGAGATACAGCTGATCATTAAATCTGCCTCAGGCGGAGAGGGGAGGTTGACTGAGCATCGCTCCGTGTCAGCAGCCTCTTGACAATGTGGGAAAAAAAGAAGGCTGGGACACATGGAAATAAAATGTGTGGGAGTGTATCGTCTGTTTGTGCAGATTTAAAACTGGGAGTGTGTGGGTGAGCTTGTTGGCGTTTAAGGAAAACGGTGCATCATACAGTGTGGGAGTCCTCGTCTCCTCTCAATGCTCTCCCAATATATTTTTTTGTATCGATCCGGTCAAACCCAGCGTGCCCCCCACAACATCAGCGTGGCCTCAATCCACCCAAGTTACTCAAAGTCCAAGATGTCTTTAAATATCATGTTGTCAGTCCCAAACCCCAATATACTTAGTTGAATATGAAATAAAACAGAGAAAAGCAAGAAACCACCATATTTAAATACTTGAAACTGCGAAAAAATGTAAGCCATTATCTGATTATAGCTGTCGGTATTTTTTCTGCCGACCGACTTATCAGCTAGCTAATCATTGCAGCTTGGAAAGCAACTTATAACTACAATTATCAAATAAATGGACACAAATGTATTGTTACAAAGATTGCGTAGCGCTTGGTTCTTTTACACTTCCTGTGGGAGTCCGCGTCTCCTCTCAGTGCTCTCCAAATATAGTTTTTAGTATCGATCCGCTCAAACCCAGTGTGCTCCCCACAACATCAATTGGAGTGCGTGGCCTCTGCTTTCCTTTGATAATAGCTTGTTACAATACAGAACCCCAGCAGGAGTTTGTGTTTTACCACGGTCAAGAGCAGAGAGAGCAGCCTGCCAAATGTTGCCCGAAACCACTCTGAGCCAACAGTGTTCTCAAAAGAAAAGCACAATAAGCGATAAAGAACAAACAAAGTCCTCCAGCATATTTGCAGTATTAATATGTGTACTTATTAAAGGTGAGACTTAGATGTAGAAATGTTCAGGTTCATCACATGCTCTGGTTACAGCGCAATTCTAAAGCAAATAATTCAAGTCAATTGTTCCAATTTCTTGCAGTCCAGAGCAGTAGCTTCAAACTATTCTTAAACATAAATATATTCTCTTTAATTCTCCGTAACGCTTCTTTTCAGCGCTGACTCACCAGTAATAAAAGTATTTTATTGTTTCTGTCTGTGGCGGTATTCCCTCAGCTGCTTTCAAAGAAATAAATCCTTATCATAAATTCTCTAATAAGAATGCTGATAACAATCCACCTTAAGGAAACTCCTGTACAATACATCACATCGCAACATTTATTTGACATTTTGTATATAAATGTCATTGAAATTATTATTTTTTTACTAAAATCATTGGGGTAGCAGTTGTTTGCTCATGTTCAATTATCAACTTTCAATGATTTAAAAAAAAAAACTACTTCCGCTGTTTAGGATGTTTTTACTTTGATTGGTCGCACATTTGGTCGTGAATACTTGATGTTATTAACCCTTAGGGGGTTAATAACATCAGGGGCCCCCCAAGGATGTGTGCTCAGCCCCCTGCTCTTCACCCTGCTGACCCACGTCTGCACACCCACCCACAGCTCCAACCACTTCATCAAGTTTGCGGATGACACAACCGTGGTGGGTCTCATCAGCAACAACGATGAGACCCATTACAGGAGGGAGGTGAACCAGCTGGCCACGTGGTGCATAGACAACAATCTCTTTCTCAATGTGGAGACAACAAAGGAGATTGTTGTCGACTTCAGGAGAAACGACACCCAACACCCCCACCCA